ATATATATAAATAAATTGAAATAAATAATCTTTGCAGGAACCATAAAGAGTTGTTTTATAGTAAATGAAACACATTTAACTAATTTGATACTTTATGAGATGAGATCCATCATAACTCTAAACTATGAAAGCAACATCTGAGCAATAAAACGTTTCCTCTGCGCAAGTAAAACTGACTTTAAGATGAGCCGAAATGAATGCATAAACGACAAGCCATCATCAAATTATGAACTCAAAACACCAGAGACAAAACAAGTCTGAAACCAAAACCTCGACATATACTCAACAAAACACATCGGTCTGTTGTTCTGAGGGTGAAAGGGAGGGATCAGTGGAAAAACTCTCGAATGGACTCTTTGTCTGCAGCTGTGATTGGCTCTTTAAAGACGTTTCCCACAATCCCTCACTGCAGCGAATGCAGAGCGAGAACAGCTGCAGTTCAATGTCTCTCTCTCGCAGATCTTTCGAACATAAACACACAAACTAACTCACATGAGAAATAACAGAGAGTCCATTCACACGCCAGTGAGTCCCGACTACCAGACCATCACTGAGCCAAAACCTGCCCTCCAAAAAAAGAGGGAAATGTTTAAAATAGAAGTTTATATCACTGACTTCTATAGTCTGAAATGGTGTGCATATACTTTTCTTTCAAAAAAAAAAGAAAAATTATGCCAACGAATCCTCTTTGTATCTTCTGGCATTGCGATCTTTCACCATAATTTACACAGAGCTAATGAAGAGCAGATGAAGTCACTGCTGAAGAATGTTTTCTAGAGAGAGGAAGAGCCGCTTGAGCGAGAGACACATCCTCTGGAAGACTTGAGCAAAAGGACGTTATTGAACAGTCGAGTAGAGCAGGGATTCACAAACCTTTGCTACCAGACCCTTTTCACATCAAATATTTGGTAACACTATAGATTAGGCAACACATATTCACTATTAACTAAGAGTTTCCCTTCAATAAACTCCTAGTTTGCTGCTTATTAATAGTTAGTAAGGTAGTTGTTAAGTTTAGGTATTGGGTCGGGTTAAGGGGTCTAGAATATGGTCATGCAGAATAATCATTAATAATGTATATTGGTCTAATTTAAAATAAACATTTGCATTTGAATGTTAGGTGTGCGTCAGGGGCGCACGAGATGTGGCGCGCGAGATGTTTAATGTGTTGTTAGTCTAGCCCGCGAGATGCGCCGCTGCTGTGTTATGCATTCAACATATCAGAGAAATATAGAAGCTCAATGCGTAGAAGATCTTGAATAGGTTAAAATCGAAACCAAGCCATTCACGCAGAACGCATATTCAGCACTTTTTTAGACGGACAAATATGACTGCTGCACTCGCGTCTCACACAAGAGATGTATAGAAAGCCATGCAATGTTAAAACAGTTTAAACGTTTAGAAAACACGTCACGAATTTGTGGAGGTTTATTCCTTTTCACTGCGTCTCATATGTTTTTAAATGCAGTCTGTGTGATCGGCGCTTCGGCTCTTTGTATTAAGCAATGCATAAATACATGATGCTGTTTTGTTCATAATTGTTTATGCAAATTACGAAATTGTATTTGATTTTTTATGAGTTCATTTAGACGTAATGCAGTTTTTTAGAGTTACTTCCTTGCGTTGACAATTTAAATGTGCTGCATTATTTTGCTCATTGCGCCCTCCTGTGGCCTCGGGAGACAAGACAAAAGTTTCCTTAAGACCTATTTAATCTGCATATAAAACATTAGAAATGAGATATTTAATTTTTATTTTGTGTTTGACTGTTAAAACAAAAAATATTTGTTGTTTGTCTCAATAAATTGGGTTAATTAAAAAATACAGTGGTTAAATAAAAAAAAAAATTATATTGCTCTTTGTTTTAAAATATGTTATAAAAAATGTCAATAATTATCGATACGAATGATATGAAACATTATATCATTGATACATTTTTTTGCTATATCGCCCAGCCCTAATATGTGCCTAATAAGTACTAATAAACAGCCAATATGCTAATATGCATGCTAATAGTCAATAGTAAGAAATGGACCTTAAAATAAAGTGTTACCAAATATTTACTTTAAGTCCCACCTGAGATTTGATGTTAATATTTCAATAATTTAATTTAACAACACATTTGCATGCTCATAGTTCTCTGATGTTGACTTTTTAATATTTAAAGTCACTTGTATTTATACAGCACAATACGGATTGTTTCAGATAGTTGTTTCAATTCAGTTCAGTTCAATTTTGATTGAATTCAGTTCAGTAACAGTGTAGATGTTGCAAAGTTAGTGACATTATTCAGCTCAGTTCAGTTTAAATTTTGTTCTCATCCGATCATGTCAGTGCAGTTAAATAGATACTACTAAATATGAATTGTCTTTTAAACCCTATTAAGTGTGTATGGTTTTAGTAAGTTTTAGTTAGTGTTTTATTTTGTCACATTTTATATTTAAGTCACATTTCAAGTCAAGTTATTTATACAGCACTTTATACATTACAATACAGATTGTTTCAAAGCAGCTTCACATTACTGAAAAGGAAAATATCAGTGTTAATGTCTCAAAACTCAATAAGAAACAAATTCACTGTCAACTATAAAGCAGCTCTACAGAAGACAGTGCCATTATTCAGCTTAACTCAGTTAAAAAATTTGTTCTCATCCCATAGCATTAGTGCAGTTAAATCAATAATATTACTTAATAATGAATTGCCTTTTAAAACCTAGTTTTTAGTGTTTGTTTTTATACGTTTTTAGTTAGTGTTTTGATTGTTTTTGTTTTAAAAATATTTATTTATTTATTAAATTTTTATGATTTAATTAATTCATTTAATTGTATCATGCATTATACAGTACAATACAGATGTTTATATTTTTATGATGCAATTAATTTAATTCATTTATTTATTAATATCGCACTTTATACAATACAGATTGTTTACATTTTTGTGATTTAATTCATTCTTAGCTTTCCATCCACTTGCTTTAAGTCACATTTCAAGTCACTTTCATTTCTATAACACTTTATACAATACAGATTGTTTATTTTTTATGATTTAAGTAATTATTAGCTTTTCATCCACCTTAAGTCACATTTCAAGTCACTTTTATTTATATGTTTTAACTAATTATTAATTCTATAACAATTTATACAATATATAATTTTTATGATTTCAAGTTCACATTTCGAGTCACTTTTATTTATATGATTAAATTAATCATTAGCTTTTCATCAACTCAAACCCCTTGCAGTTCCCCAGTTTGGAAAGCCCTGTACTTCACCTAAAATTACTGTTACTCACTATGACGTACACAAAACACAACTTTTGTTGTTGTTGTTTCTTTCCTTCTGATATTTTGAAGAATACACAGAAAACAGCAGCATGAATGCAAACATACAGTGCAGATCATCTTTGCATGACCATACAAACACGAGTCCATCACTGTGAACTGCACTCCTATTACACCACAACTGAGACGCACCATCATCCACCATCTGTCACAGACACAGTCTAGCTCAGCTTTAGATCACTCAACCTTCAACAGACGACTAGTAACAGATACCACACCATTGAGCAGACTAAAGGTCTGCCTTCCCCTCAAAGGGGAAGGAAACACTCACAAGTCTCTATAAAAACACAAGCTTGTCACAATTCCCTAAAAGAAGAGATGAAACCCTGTTTAAAAAAAATGAG